CGATTAGGGGCTGCCCGACTGATTAGGGGTGGGACATGCTCATCGATCGGGCTGCCTTGAGCACGGTCAGGCCCGAGCCATAATATAACCCCTTCTTCAATTTGCCGTTCAATGAAGCGCGATGAAGTGACACAATGGGCAGCCTGATTGTGTTGCTGCTGGCGCTCGCCGGTGCCGACGCCTCGCAGCAGTGGCGCGTGAGCGGCGGCGACGGTCCGCAGGAGACGGTGCGCGTCGACGGCCTCGAGGCGGCGCTCGCGGCGGCGGCGGCGGCGCGCGCCGAGACCATCGTCGCCGTCGCGCCGTCGGCGTCGGGCGACGCCTACGCGGCGTCGGGCGCGGCGGCGGCCGTCGACCGCTTCCTGACGACGCGCCTCGAGTACGCGCTCGCGCGCGAGCCCTTCGACGGGGGCGGCGCCGTCGAGCTCCGCTACGAGGCGTCCGCGGCGGAGCTCGCGGCCGCGTGGCGGCGGCACCAGTTCGGCCCCGGGTCCTGCGACGCCGTCGTGACGACGGGCCAGCTCGCGTCCCTCGGCGCGACCGTGGGCAAGTACGGCCACGTGGGCCTCGACGCGCTGCGCCGGGGCTACACGATCCAGCACCCGCTCACGATCGACAAGTGGTACATGGCGCAGGGCTCCGACGGCTTCTGCGGCGACGAGCGGGGGCGCTTCGAGTGCCTCTTCCTCCCCTGGAACCGCTGCCCGACGCGCGCGACCGTCGAGCGCCTCGACGGCGAGGCCGCGCGGCGCGGCGACGCGAAGCGGCCGACGGCGACGATGCTCGGGCCGTCGAACGCGTACAGCGGCCGCTTCGCCGTCTTCGGGTCCGCGGCGGCGAGCCTCTGCGACAAGTCGACGCCCCTCTTCGCCCGGTGCCCGCCCCACTCGAGCCTCTGCGGCGACCCGCCCGCGCCCGCGCCGCGGTGCGCCAACGTGACGCGCGCGTTCGACCTCCGCGAGGCCGAGCCCGACGAGCGGTGGGACAGCGAGCGGCGGCTGACGCTCCTCCACCGCGCCCTCTGGGACCGGCCCGCCTGGCGCCTGCGCAACGCGACGGCCGCCGAGGAGCGGGCCTTCTACGACCGCGCGCCGTCGTTCCGCGCGGCCGCGGCCGCCGGCCGGTGCGCGTTCGTGCACATCCGCCACGGCGACAAGCTCTACGACCGCTGGCTCAGGATCCACAAGACGCGGTCCTTCGCCGTCGACCTGCCCCAGTACGTCTCCGAGGCGCTGCCGCTCCTCGGGCTCCTGGGCTCCGAGAGGCCGCACGAGGTGCTGCTCATGAGCGACGACGGCGACATGGTCGCCGACGCGGCCGCCGTCGCCGGCGTCGCGCGCATCCACGCCGCCCCCGCGAGCCTCGGCGCCGTGTCGAGCCACTGCCGCAAGAGCGACCAGCGGTCCCTGCTCCGGCCCGCGCCGCGGCCGGGCCTCCGCTGCTCGGAGAAGCTCGGCGCGAACAGCGGCGACTGGAAGCGGGGCGTCGGGGAGCTCGCGCGCATCCTCGCGTCCCTGCGCCTCGCGGCGAAGTGCGACGCCGTCGTCCACAACTACGAGAGCAGCTTCGTCCACGTCCTCTGGCGCGACGCGTGCAGCCGCCGCGGGCCCCGGGGCTGCCAGCTCTCCTTCTCCTTCGGCAGCCAGGAGGCCTCGACGGCGGCGGCGACGAACGCCAAGCTCGGCCGCACCTGCGCCCAGCCGGCGACGCCCGAGGCCGTGCGCAAGGAGTACGGCACGGGCCGCCGGACCTGCGACCCGCCGTCGCCGCCCGTGCCCGGCCCGACGTTCTGGAGCGACGCGGCCGAGGCGTTCTTCCGACCCCTCGAGGCGCGGGCGCGGGAGCAGGAGGCCGGGGGGTAACTCGGTTGGTGTTCTCCTGCGAGGCCTCCAGCGCCGGACTGGGCCGCCGGCAGGCGTGGCGACGGACCGCGCGCTCGGACATTTGGCGGCGAAGGTCTGACCCGAGCGCTTGACCCACTCCGGCAGCCGGTTTCAAAAAGGAGACGCCGCGGCGCGACGCGGGGAACCCTTCCAACGGCGCCGCCCCTTCACGGGTAGTTGAAACACATGGAGACGCACGGCGCGACCGCCGCACACATCACCGGCGGCGGCGCCGCCGCCCTCGACGGGCTCTACTTTCTGCTCCAGGCCGCGGAGACCGCCGCGCCGTCGACCGCCGCGCCGGAGCCCACTTTCGCGAAGAAGTCCGCCGTCGATGGCTCTGCGTCGGCGCGGAGCGGCGCCGCGCCTTCAACGCGCTTCGTACCGCGGACGGGTACGACGGAGGCGTTCGAAAAGTGGGTTTTGGAGCACGCGGACCACCCGTACCCTACGAACGAGCTGCTCCATACCTTCGCGGACACCTGGGGCGCGCCATTCGTCTACGTCTCGGAATGGTTCAGAAACATGCGCAAGCGCAAGTACCTGCCGCTCGCGCGCGGCAAGCGCGGCCCCCACGGCGCCTTCGAGACCGCGCTCGTGGGCCTGATTCCGGCGGCGGCCCGGGAACGGGCCGGTGAAGAATACAAAGGGCGGCGACGGGCGGTGCCGCAGCTCCCGGTTTCACACCAGGCCGCCGCCGCGCCGGCCCGCGAGGCGCCCGCGCGGGCCGCGGACGTGGCCGTCCCCCGGCGCCCCGCGCCCCTTGTAGTGCACGCCCTTCTGGCGCGTGGGCCGGTCGACGAGCCCGCCGTCGCCGTCGAGCCCGTCGCCGCGGAGCCCGCCATTCAAGCTTCCGTGGAGCCCTTCCCGAAGCCCGCGGGCGTGCCGCCGCTCGTCGCGATCGCCGGCCCGCCGCCGGCGCCGGACTCCCGGACGCGCGGCGTCCTCGACCGGCTGGCGGCTCTGGCGCCGGCGCCGGCGCCGGCGCCGTTCAAGATCAAGGTCCCCTTCAAGCGACCGGCCCCCGGCGCGGCGCCCGCGGACGACGCCGAGCCCGCGGCCGCGGCCGCGGAGGCGCCGACGGTCGCGGACGAGACGGCGGTCGCGGCCCGCTCCGCGCGGCCCAAGAAGGACCCCGGCCTCGCAGCGAGCAAGGCCCTCAAGGTCGACAATCGGCGTGCGACCCAGGTCTATTCCGAGGACGACCTCTGGGCGCCGCGGAAACGCCGCGCCGTCGCCGCCTCCGCCGACGAAGCCTCCCGGCCCGCCGACATTTGAGGCGGAGCCGCCCGACTCATAATACACACTCGCAAGACAAAGCCACTCTCCTTAGCGGCAGCTCAGGTCGAGGAGCGGGCAGGGCCCCGCGAGGGCGCACTCCTTCTTCTGGAGCTTGCCGTTCTTCGCGCAGCGCGTGCAGCACTTGCCGTGCTCCACGAGGAGGACGTGGAGCGCGAACTTGACCTCGTCGGGCACGCGGCGGTTCAGGTGCTCGTAGGCCTTCTCGCGCGTCGCGGCCTCGGGGAGCCACTTGCACATCTTCGCGATGTGGAGCACGTGCGTGTCGACTGGAAATTCCGCTCTCCCCATGGTGAACATCATGACGCAGGACACGGTCTTCGGGCCGACGCCCTTGAACGACGACAGCGTGCGCTTGACGACGGCGTCGTCGCGCTCGCCGTGGAGCCACTGGAGGCAGGGCTCGCCGGCCGCTCCCCGGCCGGCGACGCGCGGGTCCGCCAGGATCGCGCGGACGCGCTCCATCTTGACCTCGGCCAGGCCGCCGCAGCGCACGAGCTCCTCGGCGACGCCCGCGGGCGCCGCGAGCACCTCGGACCACGTCGGCAGGCCCGCCTTGAGGCGCTCAAAGGCCACGAGGGACGTCTTGTCCGTCGTGTTCTGCGAGAGGATCGTCCGCACGAGCGAGTCGAGGATCGACTTGCGCTGCTCGGTCGCCTTCTTGTGCTCGACGTCGCCGTGCGCAGCGACAGCGCCGCCGTCGCCTCGACGGCCGCCTCGCGCGACGGCGCGGCCCAGTCCGGGTACGGCTCCTCGGCCGCGGACTTGACCTTGGCTTTGCTGCTCGCGGCCTTGCGGCTCGTCGCCTCGGGCAGCACCTCGATCTTGCAGCTGCCCTCCGGCTTGGCGGCCTTGGGCGTGCTCGCCTTGCTCGCCTTGGCTTTCGCGGCGGCGGCTGCCTTCTTGGGGATGCGTTCGACCTTCACCATTGCACTTGCACGCTCTAGATTTCAAACGGCTGAAGTTGGCGCGCGCGAGGAGCTGCGGCGCCGCCAGCGTGGCGCTTCTTGTGAACGAGCCGATCGAGCTGCATCTGAGCCGCCTTGCATCTGCCTTGCACCGTCGCATGATGGTTGCAACAGCAAGCATGCGCTTCCTGAGCCACCGAATCGCCTTCGCAGCTCGCCGCCGCGCCGCCGCCGCGCGCTCGCAGCGCACTTTGGCCTCGTCGCGCCGCGCCGCGGCCATGGCGAGCTTCAAGGTCATGGAGGTGCTCAACAAGGCGAACCTCCTCGAGGCGTCGGGCGCGTCGATCATGCACATGGAGGTGGGCCAGCCGTCGTCGCCCGCGCCGCCGTCGGCGCGGCGCGCCGCCGAGGCCGAGCTCGCCGTCGACGCGGCCATGGGCTACACGTCCGCGAATGGCCTGCCGGAGCTGAAAAACCGCATCGCGCGATGGTACGCGGACCGCCACGGGTCGGCCGTCGACCCGGAGCGCGTCGTCGTCACGACGGGCTCCTCGGCGGGCTTCGTCCTGAGCTTCATGGCCCTCTGGGACGCCGGCGACAAGGTCGGCGTGCCGAGCACCGCGTACCCGTGCTACAGGAACGTGCTCCGGTCGCTCGGCTGCGAGGCCGTGCCCCTCGCCGGCGACGCGGGCGACCCGCGGAGCGGCTTCGAGTTCCCGACGCCGGCCCAGGTCGAGGCGGCGGCGGCGGGCGACGGCATCGCGGGCCTCATCCTGTCGTCGCCGAGCAACCCGACGGGCGCCGCGCTGAGCGCGGCGGAGCTCTCCGCGCTCGCCGCGACCTGCGACGGCGCGGGCGTGCGCTTCATCTCCGACGAGATCTACCACCACATCGCCTACGGCGCCGAGCCGTCGCCGTCGGCCGTCGACCTGCCCGGCGCCGTCGTCGTGAACAGCTTCTCCAAGTTCTTCTCGATGACGGGCTGGCGCGTCGGCTGGCTCGTGCTCCCCGCCGGCGACGCGGAGCTCGCCGGCGCCGTCGCGCGCCTCCAGCAGAACCTCTTCATCAACGCGCCGACGGTGTCGCAGATCGCCGCAACCGCCGCGTTCGACGACGTCGACGACGCGCTCGACGGCCACGTCCGGCGCTACGCGGCGAACCGAAACGTCGTCCTCGGCGCGCTCGAGCGCATGGGCGTCGACGCGGCCCACGTCGCGCCCGCCGCGGGCGCGTTCTACGTCTACGCCGACCTCGGCGCCTACGGCGTCGCCGACTCCGTCGACCTCTGCAACCGCCTCCTCGACGACGAGGGCGTCGCCATCACGCCGGGCGTCGACTTCGAGTTCGAGGAGGCCATCGGCAAGCGCCGCGTCCGCATCTCCTACTGTGGCGCGACGCCGGACGTCGAGGAGGCCATGGCGCGCCTCGCGCGCTGGTGGGCCGCGGGCAAGTACAAGCAGTAGGGGCCGACGCAGCGCGGCTAACGAAGAGCGGTGTGGCTCGCGCCTTTTTTGGGAACTTCGAGGTGTCGCAGAACGCGGCGGCAAGTTGAATGTCAACGTGCAGCTGGACGACTTCTTCGCATTCTCGGACGACGTCGAGCTCGAGGCGCTCGTGCAGTTCGACGACCTTATCGACGACCACACCCGAACGACGACCTCGAACGCTGAGATGAACAGTTTGTGAAGCATCACACTGAAAGATCAGTGAGCGCGATCGAGCATTGTGCGCCACTGCTCGTCCGTCGGCCTCGCGAATATCGACGTCGCCGCGCCGCGAGCCCCACCCGCGACCGTCATCAGCCCTCGGGGGCCTCACGGACACGCACGCTCCGCCGCCGGCCATCTGCGGGACATCAACCCCCTGCTTCGTCGACGCCGAACACGAATTTCTGCGGCGAAAGAAAACGAGCAGTAGGCGAACCGCCGCGTCTCTTCAACGCCCCACGCCGAGGCCTCGAGGCGTCGTCGAGACCTCGGCGCTCTGCTTCGAGGACTTGGCCGACGCCAGCCTCTGTACCCGCGCGCGCGCCCCGCCGCCCGCTCGTCGGAACGCGATCCCGCCGAACCGCCGACGCCCTCGTCCGCCGACCGCCACGTCGCCCAGCCCGCCCTCCCCCGCCCCCACATCGCGCGCTCCGCCGACCGCCGACACCCCTCGCCCACAGGCCGGTGAAGTGAAGCGATGGCGAGAAGCGTCGTCTTGGCGCTCCTGGCCGCCCGGGCGTCGGCGCTCTGCGTCCTGCGGGACGCGACCGTCTGCTGGGGGAACGAGCACCAGTACGTCGAGAACACGGACTTGGTCGACGGCATCTACGTCGAATTGGAGATGGCGTTCGCCGACGTCGACGGCGACGGCGACCTCGACCTCGTCGTGGGCGAATACGACGGCACCCTCAACTACTACGAGAACGTCGGGAACGCGACAGCGCCGAGCTACGAGGCCGTCACCGGCAGCGCGAACCCCTTCGACGGCATCGACGTCGGTTCCTGGAGCAAGCCCGCGTTCGCCGACGTCGACGGCGACGGCGACCTCGACCTCGTCGTGGGCACATACGAGGGCGCCCTCTTCTACTACGAGAACATCGGGAACGCGACGTCGCCGACCTACGAGGCCGTCACCGGCGCCGCGAGCCCCTTCGACGGCATCGAAGTCGGTTTCGACAGCAAGCCCGTGCTCGTCGACGTCGACGGCGACGGCGACCTCGACCTCGTCGTGGGCGAAGACGACGGCAACCTCTACTACTACGAGAACGTCGGGTCCGCGACGTCGCCGAGCTACGAGGCCGTCACCGGCAGCGCGAACCCCTTCAACGGTATCAACGTCGGTTCCTACAGCGCGCCCGCGTTCGCCGACCTCGACGGCGACGGCGACCTCGACCTCGTCGTGGGCGAAGAGTGGGGCTCCCTCTACTACTTCGAGAACATCGGGTCCGCGACCTCGCCGAGCTACGAGGCCGTCACCGGCGCCGCGAACCCTTTCGACGGCATCGACGTCAGTCTCCGCGACGGCATCTATCGGGATCACAGCGCGCCCGCGCTCTTCGACGTCGACGGCGACGGCGACCTCGACCTCGTCGTATCCCTCGACGGCTTTCTCAACTACTACGAGATCGTCGGGTCCGCGGCGTCGCCGAGCTACGAGGCCGTCACCGGTAGCGCGAGCCCCTTCGACGGCATCGACGTCGGTTACCTCAGCACGCCCGCGCTCGCCGACCTCGACGGCGACGGCGACCTCGACCTCGTCGTGGGCGAATGGGCAGGCGTCCTCTTCTACTACGAGAACGTCGGGTCCGCGGCGTCGCCGAGCTACGCGGCCGTCACCGGCAGCGCGAACCCCTTCGACGGCATCGACGACGGTGGCTTCAGTTTTCCCGCGTTCGGCGACCTCGACGGCGACGGCGACCTCGACCTCGTCGTGGGCGATTGGACCCTCACTATGGGCGTAGCGGAGGAAGGCGCCCTCAACTACTATGAGAACGTCGGGTCCGCGACGTCGCCGAGCTACGAGGCCGTGACCGGCGCCGCGAACCCTGTCGACGGCATCAAAGTCGGTGGCTACGACTTTTCATATGCGTTTGCGCCCGCGTTCGCCGACCTCGACGGCGACGGCGACCTCGACCTCGTCGTGGGCGAATACTGGGGCGGCCTCTACTACTACGACAACGTCGGGTCCGCGACGTCGCCGAGCTACGCGGCCGTCACCGGCAGCGCGAACCCCTTCGATGCCATCGCCGTCGGTTCCCACAGCACGCCCGCGTTCAGTGACCTCGACGGCGACAGCGACCTCGACCTCGTCGTGGGCGAACAGGTAGGCCTCCTCAACTACTACGAGAACGTCGGGAACGCGACGTCGCCGAGCTACAGAGCCGTCACCGGTAGCGCGAACCCCTTCGACGCCATCTCCGTCCCTCTGAGCAGCGCGCCCGCGCTCGCCGACCTCGACGGCGACGGCGACCTCGACCTCGTCTTGGGCCAATTCGACGGCCACCTCTACTTCTTCGCGAACGGTTACTGCACGCAAGGCGACACTGCCTGCCGTGGCAGCGGCCTCTGCGATCTGACCTACGTCATCTTCTCCGAAGCGTCCTGCCAGTGCCTCGGCGGCTTCGACCACGAGGTGCCCGACGTGGTCATGCAGTGCGGCGAGTGCCAGGCGGGCTTCTACGGGAGCACGTGCGAGCCGTGCCCGCAAGGGGGTGACGAAGACCGCAACGCGCCGCGCCTCACGGACACCTGCGGCGTCGCGGGGAGCGGCCGGTCGCGCGGCTCCTGCGACGACGGTAGGGGCGGCACCGGGGCGTGCACGTGCTTCGGCGACGTCTTCTCGGGGAGCGGCTGCACGGAGGGGACGTGTCCAGCGGGGACCGTCGAGACCGCGACCTTCGATGGCTACTACAACATCGCAAACTGCACGTCGTGCGACGCGGGCACCTTCTCGGCCGAGGGCGACCCGCAGTGTACGAAGTGCGCCGCGGGCAAGTCCTCGGCCGCGGGCGCGAGCGAGTGCGCCAGCTGCTCCGCGGGGTCGTATTCTGCTCCGGGCGCGAGCGAGTGCTCAACTTGCACAGTCAGGACGTACCAGGGCGAGACCGGCCAGTCGAGCTGCGCGCTCGCGGACGCCGGGTCCTTCGTCGACGCGATCGGCGCCTCTGAGCAGACCGCGTGCGATGCGGGCAAGTACAGCGGCTCCGGCGCGGACGAGTGCGTCGACTGCGAGGCCGGGACGTACCAGGGCGAGACCGGCCAGTCGAGCTGCGCGCTCGCGGACGCCGGGTCCTTCGTCCAAGCGGACGGCGCGTCGGAGCAGACCGCGTGCGATGCGGGCAAGTACAGCGGCTCCGGCGCGGACGAGTGCGTCGACTGCGAGGCCGGGACGTACCAGGACGCGACGGGCCAGTCGAGCTGCGCGCTCGCGGACGCCGGGTCCTTCGTCGACGCGATCGGCGCCTCTGAGCAGATCGCGTGCGATGCGGGCAAGTACAGCGGCTCCGGCGCGAGCGAGTGCGACGACTGCGCGGCCGGGACGTACCAGGGCGAGACGGGCCAGTCGAGCTGCAAGCTCGCGGACGGCGGGTCCTTCGTCCAAGCGGACGGCGCGTCGGAGCAGACCGCGTGCGATGCGGGCAAGTACAGCGGCTCCGGCGCGAGCGAGTGCGACGACTGCGCGGCCGGGACGTACCAGGACGCGACGGGCCAGTCGAGCTGCAAGCTCGCGGACGGCGGGTCCTTCGTCGACGCGATGGGCGCCTCGGAGCAGCGCGAATGCCCCGCGGGCTCATTCTCCGGCTCCGCTTCGGGCAAGTGCGACGACTGCGTGGCCGGCACGTTCCAGGAGCTGACGGGCCAGTCGAGCTGCGCGCTCGCGGGTCAGGGCTTCTACGTCGGGAGCACTGGAGCTTCGGAGCAGACTGCTTGCCCCGCGGGAAGCTTCTCCGGCTCCGGCGCGAGCGAGTGCGACGACTGCGCGGCCGGGACGTACCAGGACGCGACGGGCCAGTCGAGCTGCAAGCTCGCGGACGCCGGCTCCTTCGTCGACGCGATCAGCGCCTCGGAGCAGGCGGCGTGCGATGCGGGCAAGTACAGCGGCTCCGCCGCGAGCGAGTGCATCGACTGCGCGGCCGGCACATTCCAGGAGTCGACGGGTCAGTCGAGCTGCCTCCTCGCAAATGCCGGGTCCTTCGTCGATGCGATCAGCGCCTCGGAGCAGGCCGCGTGCCCCGCGGGAAGCTTCTCCGGCTCCGGCGCGAGCGAGTGCGTCGACTGTGAGGCCGGGACGTACCAGGACGCGACCGGCCAGTCGGGCTGCAAGCTCGCGGACGCCGGGTCCTTCGTGAACGAAATCGGCGCCTCGGAGCAGGCGGCGTGCGATGCGGGCAAGTACAGCGGCTCCGCCGCGAGCGAGTGCGAGGCTTGCGCGACCGGCACGTTCCAGGAGTCGACGGGCCGGTCAAGCTGCAAGCTCGCGGGTCAAGGCTTCTACGTCGGAAGCACTGGAGCTTCGGAGCAGACCGTGTGCCCCGCGGGCAACTTCTCCGGCTCCGGCGCGAGCGCATGCGACGAGTGCGAGATCGGGACCTTCAGCGCCGAGGGCGACTCATCCTGCACGTCGTGCCCCGCGGGCTTCTCGAGCAGCGCCGCCGGAGCGAGCGAGTGCAGCGCGTGCCCGGTCGGGACCTTCAAGGGCGCCGGCTCGGGGCCGTGCGTCGAGTGCGGCGTCGGTACCTACGGACCCGAGACCGGGCAGTCGAGCTGCCTCCTCGCAAATGCCGGTTCCTTCGTCGACGACACCGGCGCATCAGAGCAGACCGCGTGCCCCGCGGGCTCGTTCTCCGGCTCCGGCGCGAGCGAGTGCGCGATGTGCGAGCGCCGGACGTACCAGTCCCTGGTGGGTCAGGCGAGCTGCGCCCTCGCGGACGGCGGGTCCTTCGTCGACTTGGCTGGCGCCTCCGAGCAGACCGCGTGCCCCGCGGGCTCGTTCTCCGGCTCCGGCGCGAGCGAGTGCGCGATGTGCGAGCGCGGGACGTACCAGTCCCTGGTGGGTCAGGCGAGCTGCGCCCTCGCGGACGGCGGGTCCTTCGTCGACTTGGCTGGCGCCTCCGAGCAGACCGCGTGCCCCGCGGGCTCGTTCTCCGGCTCCGGCGCGAGCGAGTGCGCGATGTGCGAGCGCGGGACGTACCAGTCCCTGGTGGGTCAGGCGAGCTGCGCCCTCGCGGACGGCGGGTCCTTCGTCGACTTGGCTGGCGCCTCCGAGCAGACCGCGTGCCCCGCGGGCTCGTTCTCCGGCTCCGGCGCGAGCGAGTGCGCGATGTGCGAGCGCGGGACGTACCAGTCCCTGGTAGATCGAGGACGGAACACTGCAGCGGAATATTGAGGAGGCGGTCTCTTCGGGGCGGCGCAGGCTTTGGGCCTCGCGGCGTACGCTTTCGGGGTCGGCGCTCGGCTCTGCGACCGTCGACGTCGAATTGAGCTCCGAAGGCATACTCGCAGCGACCGTGGAGACTGACGCTCCACCTGGAGGATTTTCCACCGGCGAGACCTCGTCTTGTCCCCCGGGCAAGTTCTCGTCGAGCGGGGCGTCCGAGTGCGTCGAGTGCGAGCGCGGGTCATATACCGATGCGAAAGGTCAGAATGTCTGCAAGTTAGCCAGCGCGGGAAGCTTTGTTCCCTGGGCGGCCGCTTCCGAGCAGCAAGTCTGCCCACCTGGGAAGTACACGGCCGGACAAGGCGCGCACGCGTGCTCGAACTGCCTGCCCGGGGCGTTCCAGCCCGACTCCGGTGCGGTTACGTGCAAGCTCGCGAAAGCCGGCTACTTTTGCGCGGACGAAGGCGCCTCGAACCAAACGGAGTGTCCCGCTGGAAAGCATTCGAGCTCGGGCGCCGCGAACTGCACGGATTGTGATCTCGGTCAGTACGCGCTTCCGGGGGCATCGACGTGCACGCTGGCGAGCGCTGGAAGCTTTGTTGCAGCTCAGGGCATGTCTAAGCAGGCTGAATGTCCGGCTGGAAAGTACTCAGGCTCGGCGGCCGAGAGCTGCACAGAGTGTCTGCCCGGATCTTTCGCGGCCAAGGAAGGTTTGACGGTTTGCACGCTGGCGAGCGCTGGAAGCTTTGTTGCAGCTCAGGGCATGTCCAAAGAGGACGAATGTCCGGCTGGAAAGTACTCTGGCTCGGCGGCCGAGAGCTGCACAGAGTGTCTGCCTGGATCTTTCGCGGCCGAGAAAGGTTTGACGGTTTGCACGCTGGCGAGCGCGGGAAGCTTTGTCGCAGCTCAGGGCATGTCCAAAGAGGACGAATGTCCGGCTGGAAAGTACTCAGGCTCGGCGGCCGAGAGCTGCAAGGATTGCGTCGCAGGTCGATATTCTGGCCCGGGCGCGGACACGTGCGAGCTCGCGGAAGCCGGCAACTTTTGCGCAGACACGGGCGCCTCTGCAGAAGTGCCGTGCAAAGCCGGGAGCTACTCAGGCGCCGCGGCCTCAAAGTGCACCCCGTGCGCCGAAGGATCTTATGCTTCCAAGCAAGGATCGGCGACCTGCACGGCCGCGTCGGCGGGCAGCTTTGTCGCGAAGCCGGGCGCGACCTCAGAAGTCCGCTGCGAATCAGGAGAACGCAGCGGCGTCGGCCAGAGCAAGTGCGAGCAGTGTCAGCCCGGCACCTACGCGTCCGATGCCGGGTCTACGACGTGCGATCTCTGCGAAGCGGGCACGTTCGCCGAGGAGAGCGGCAAGAGCGCGTGCGACGAGTGCCCGGCCGGCAAATACGCGAGCGCGGTTGGATCGACGATGTGCTCGATCGCGAACGCGGGCTCCTATACCTCAGAAGACGGCGCCACCTCGCAAGAGCTTTGCCCGGCGGGCACGATTAGCCGCCCCGGCGAGAGCAAGTGTACGAACTGTCCCGCGGGCTCCTACGCCGCCGAGGACGGCTCGACGTCGTGCGTCCTCGCGAACGCCGGCTCTTACGTCGCCAGAGACGGTGCGTCCCAACAGGAGCCCTGCAAAGCGGGCACTCTGAGCGGCGCCGGGCAAACGTCCTGCGACTTGAGCCCGGCGGGATCGTACGTCCCGCGGTCGGGCGCCTTCGCCGCGGTCATCGCGGACGCGGGCTACGTCGTCGAGGAGGAGGGCGGTTCGGAACAGACGAAGTGTCCACCCGGTTCCTACTCGGGCGCGAAGGCCTCTACGTGCACGCTCTGCGAGCCCGGCCGCTACGCGAACCTCGAAGCGGCCGCCACTTGCGAAGCCGCTCCTCCGGGCAAGTTCGCGTGGGTCCACGGTGCCGTCGCGCCGTCGTCGTGTCCCGCGGGGCGATACTCCGGATCCGGCGCGGTCTCCTGCACGCTGTGTCCCGATGGGCAAACCAGCGATCGGGAGTCGGCGACGTGCAGACCCGTCGACGCCGGCTCCACGAACGCGGAACTCTCCACGGTCACCGTCGAGATCTCTTCCGCGCTCGTGCTCGAGGGCTTGGACGCGGACCGCTTTCCCGACGACGAAGCGGCTCTTCAGGCCTTTGCATCCGCAGTCCAGGAAAGCATTCACTCGGATGAGGTCTACGACGTGCCAGCGCGGGACGTGCATCTCGCCGCTCGCCGTCGTCTCGCGACGGCGGCGAACCACGATCAAATCTCCTTCGTCGCCTACGCGAACTACACCCTCGTTCCCGGAGAGGAACTCGACCTCGACCGGTTCAAGGATGGCTTCCAGGACACGCTGCTCTCTTCGATATCGACCGGAGACGCGCAAAGTGCGCTCGACGACCGCGCGGCCGGCACGTCGCTCGCGTCGGCGGCCATCGACGAGGCGTCGAGCGCGGCGACCATCACTGGAAGCACGGAGGTCGCGGTTACCGAAGCTCGCTCGACGACGGACGCGCTCGTCGTCGAGTGCCCCGCGGGGACCATTTCCGCCGCCGGCGAGAGCGACTGCACGCCGTGTTCGCGCGGGACGTACTCGGACGCTCTCGGTCAGACAAGCTGCAAGCTCGCGTCGCCCGGCACGTTCGTGCCGGTCGAGGGCGCCTCGGCCGCGACGCCGTGTCCCGTCGGGACGTTTTCGGGTGCCGCGGCGTCGTCCTGCACGCCGTGTCCTCTGGGCTACTACAACAATCTCACGAAGCAGTCCGCGTGTCAGCTGTGTCTCGCTCCGACCTACACGCTCGAAGAGGGCAAGACCTACTGCGACGCGTGCCGCGAGGACTACTACTGGGACTCGAGAACGTACGCCAAACACGCCGAGGAGAAGCTCCTTGACGAAAACAAACAGCCGCTGCCGTGCGAGGAGTGCTGCGTCGAGTGCGACGACGCGTGCGAAGGCGGCGTCGAGACGTGCGCGAACTGTCCCCAGGGCGCGCGCACGACCTTGGAGACGATGGACCTGAAGAAGAATTTCTGGCGCGCGTCGATCGACGCGACGTCGATCTACGAATGCACCCTCGAAGAGTCGTGCAAAGGCGGAGCCAACAGCTCGTGCGCGCGCGGCCACAAGGGCCCGCTGTGCGGCGCGTGCGAGGCCCACTACTTCTACGACACGGCCGCGAACCGCTGCGTGGACTGCGGCAACAAGATCGAGGCCCGCGGGGACAACATCATCGGGACCGTGCTGGCCGTCCTATTTGTCGTCGCGGCCATCGGCGTCGTGATGCGAAAGTTTGGCCTCTTCACCGTTTTGGGTCACGGGGTCGACGCGATTCGCGAAGTCGTCCAGGGCGAGGCAGTCGAAGATATCGCGAAGGCAAAGCTCGAGGAGCATTACGAAGATGACGAAGATGGAGAGGCCGCCGGCAGCGACACGCAGAGCGCCGACGACGAGGAGTCGTCGGGACGATCCACGGAGCAGAACGTCATGACGAAAGTGAAGATCGTCATCGCGACGTACCAGATCGCGTGCAGCATCCCGTGGTCGCTCCCGCAAGTACGTTTTCCCGCCATCTTCGAAGAGGCCCTGAAGCTGGGATCCGTCGTGAATCTAAGCTTCATCAGCTTCGCCAAGGCGGAGTGCTTCGGAGATTTCGACTACTTCGACAAGCTTCTCTTCGTGACCCTGCTCCCCGTCGTCTTCGTCCTCTTGATCGCGGTCGGATTCGGGCTCCGCTACGCGTGCGTGGATCGGTCGCGGCGGGACGAGATCCTCTCCGGGGCTTCGTATTGGATCCTCTTCACGCTCTACGTCCTCGTGCCTTCGACGTCCGCGTACTGCCTGCGGTATTTCGCGTGCGCCAAGTACGACGGCGGCTACGGCGAGGGTGTCAACGTCCTGCGCATCGACCCGACGATCAGCTGCGACAGCCCGTCGCACGACGCGTGGCTGCCCTACGTGCTGTTCTCGATCGTCGCCTACCCCGTCGGCGTGCCCCTCGGCTTCGCGTGCCTGCTCTGGCGGTTACGGCGGCGGCTGGACCCCGACGTGGACCATCAAACGGTTCGAACGCCTTCAGGACGGACCATCGGCGAAGCGGGCGCCGACGCGGCGAACCAGGAGGACGAGCACTTCCTCCACGAGGCGCTCGAGCGGCACGCGGAATCGATGGTCCAGTTCCAGAAGCTCGAGGTGCGGGCGAACGACCCGACGCTGGAGAGCGTGCGCTTCCTCTACGAGGAGTTCAAACCGAGCTGCTTCATGTTCATGGTCTACGAGGTCTCCCGCCGCATCTTCCTCACGGGGTGCCTGTCCATGTTCGTGCCCGATTCCATCTCCCAGA